AGTTTGTTCTAAGGATAGGGATGTGGAGAAAGATAGGAAGGAGGATAAGAGAGGACAGGATGAGCGGAACGAGCACCCACCTCGAAAGAAGGGTGTGATACATATGATAGCCGGGGGACCCACTGACGGGACTCGAGACAAGCTAGGAAGTGGCACACAAGAGTTGTGGGTAGAAAAGATGGTGCATAGGTGAAGTACCGCTAGATCAGTTTGGACTTGCGGACACTAAAGGAGTTTCCACATCACACAACGACTCCTGGTAATCACTGCTGAAATAGCCTACTACATGTTGAAAGGGTTTTTGTCGACATTGAGAGCTCGGTAGACATTCTTTTCACACATTGTCTCTAAAAGATGGACCTTGGGGTCCAACTCCAGCTTGTGCTAACAACTTTGGACGCTTGTGCGAACAACCTTCGGACGGGTTTAGTGGTTTTGAAGTGCTCCCTTTGGGAGAAGTAACATTGCAAATAGCCTTAGGGACACCTCCCTTAGGCAAGTTAATATGGTCAAGTTTCTAGTTGTAAGGATACAATGTGATAGTGATATTGGGAAGGCCGAGCCTAAACACATTTCGAGCGGTGGTATCGATCTATCGTGTGAAGGTGAAATTTCAAGTCAAAGACAAAGTTGGAGAAGTCATGGGGAACTAAAAGATCATAAGGGCATGCTGGGGAGAGTGAGAAAAGAAAGACGGATGATCAAGTCGATAGAGTAGAAAAGCAACCAAAGTTGCACTTAACCTCCCAGGACGAACTCATAGAGATTGAGAGAGTGGAAGGGGCAACTGACAAAGTAACACAAGTAGGCCGAGACCTACATATACATATACGAGGAGAGCTGATCAATTTGTTAAGGGAATTTGTGGACATGTTTGCATTCAGCCAAGACGAGCTCACGAGGATTAGTCTGGAACTAGTTCATCGTATAAACATCAACGAGACGGCTAGATGGAGTGTCCAATGAGAAGGAAGTTGACAAGCTACTGAAAGCGGCGCAAGTAAAGCCTATCCAATTTCTCGAGTGGCTCTCTAACGCGGTAATGGTCAAGAAAGAGTTAAGTTAGACAAGTGGATAATGTGCATTCATTTTCCACATAGTTTGTCCAAAAGATTACTATCCCCTGCTGCGGATCGACCATCTTGTAGGATGCGAGCTGTTGAGTATGATTGACGCATCTCAAGGTACCATTAGATCATCAGAAGAGAGTAAGCTTCGTCACAACGAGGGGTACGTATTGTTACGTACTCATGCCCTTTGGGTTCAAGAATGCAGGCGCCGCTTACAAACGGTTATTTGACCAAATGTTGAAAGAGCAGATCGGAAGAAACATGGATGTTTACGTCAACGACATGTTGGTTAAGAGCCGATATGCGAGAGATCATGTAGGTGACCTAAGGGAGACTTTCCTCACACTCAGGTCGGGATGAAGTTGCATCCCGCAAGTTTGTTTGCAAATCGGGGAAGATCTTGAGATACATGGTGACAGAAAGAGGAATTGAAGTTAATCTAGCGCAGGTAACAACAGTTATGGACATGAAGCCACCCAGGAGTTTAATAGAAGCGCAAATGGCGGCAGGTCGTTTAGCGGGTCTCAACGCCCAATCCCAGGAATTTAATAGAAGCACAAATGGTGGCAGGTCGTTTAGCGGGTCTCAACGCCCAATCGGCAGGCTTTCCATTTTTCTAGACGCTGAAGGGAGCTAAATTCGTGTGGACTGAAAAAGCACAACTAGCGTTTGAGCGGTTGAAAGAGTTTTTAGCTGATTTATTACTACTTATAAAACCAGAGCAAGGCGACGAGCTAATTTTGTATCCTTCGATACGTCTTGCAGCGATAAGTTCGGTGTTGTTGAAAGAAGAAGGGCGACAACAAAAGCCTATATATGCTACACAAGTCGACTAGTCGACTGTTGCAAAGAGCTGAGAGTGTTATTGAGAAGATTGCACTTGCTCGAATCATTACAGTACGAAAATTGTGACCTCATTTCTTAGTTCATCGAGTAGTAGTCCGTACGAACCTCCCACTTTGCGACACCCTAAGACAACCCACCACAACGCAGTTGAGTTGGGTTAGTACGACCTAAAATTCGTGCCACGCAGAGCCATCAAAGCTCAAGCTCACAGTTGACGAAAACATAGGAAGTGGCTAGTGTATGTCGACGGGAGTTCAACTATTGGAGGAGACAGGGTAGGTATCCATATAATCACTCTAGAGATCATCTAGAGTTTGCCGTAAAACTAACTTTTCGGGCTTCCAATGAGGCCGACGAGACCATGATCAAAGGAATTCAGCTCGCCCTCCCCACACAAGTGAAAAAGGTGTTAATTCACTAGGATTTGCAGCTAGTAGTGGAGCAGGTCTCAAAGAGATTTTGAGTAAAAGGAAGAAAGGATAAAGAAATATGTCCACATTGTCTTAGACTATCCTCGAGCTGTTAAGTATTTTTATCATGGGAAATAGTTCAGCTAGGGCGGAGTGTGCTCGCCAAGGTAGCTAGCTCTTTAGTGGACTGTAGCTCGAGGTCAATAATATGCTCCAAATGGATGCTAACACTAGAACTAGTCATGAGCATAACTATGGGGGACGATTGGAGAGTCGACCTAATGAGGTGGTTAGCTAAATGAGAGAAACCCATTAATCGCTTGCGAAAAATGTGTTAGATATGTGCTCCACAATACTTCATACATAATACTAACCAGTACCAAAGATCATACGTGGGACCATACTTTACTTGAAGTGTGTAACCAGAGATGAGGGAGCTTATGTACTTAAGGAAATCCCTGAGGGGTGCTGTGGCAGTCATATCAAAGCACGTGCCTTAGCCAGGAAAGTGATGAGAGAAGGATACTTTTGGCTAACCATGAGAACTGATGCTGCAGAAATGTTAGCAAACAATCCCATTTGGCTAACCATGCCAGAAGTACGACGTGGTTATAGACTAACCCGAGGAGATGACAACAATGAGCACCAATCCCATTTGCTCAGTGGGGGCGTCGACATCTTAGGACCTTTGCCACGGGTGACGGTATAGAGGAAATGATTGATAGTTGCAGTCGACTACTTCAATAAATGGGTCGAAGCGGAGGCCATTGCTCATATAACAGAGAAGCAGTGATTTATTTCTTGCTCTCTAACATCTATGGCACACCAAGGACACTAATTTCAAACAATGATACCCAGTTCAACGGTGCAAAAATCAGTTGATGGTGTTCCGAAATGAAGATAATGCAAAGGTTTGTTGCTGTGGCGCACCCCCAAGCAAATGGGCAGATCGAAGTCATGAACCTAATTATTCTACAAGGGAGAAAGCCTCATGTGCCTCGGTCGAGGAGATGGACTCAGTTTTGTGGTCGTTTCGGATAACACCTCAAAGTTCGACCGAAAAAACTCCTTTTAGCTTGGTCTACGGCATGAAGGCAGTAATAATGGTTGAAGCATTGGGTCTCTACGAGTCGAAGCATTAAATAAAATAAAAATCAATAGCTACGAAAGGAAGCCTTGGACATCATTGATGAGTTGCGGATACAATAGGATTTCTGATCGCCATGTACGAGCAAAAAATGAAGGCCGCACATGACAAGAAAGTTCGATGGCAAAGGTTTCAGGTCGGCTTCCTAGTGTGGAAGCAAGCCGATGCACCTAAAAGACATGGAAGTTGAACCCAACTTGGATATGTCCATTCAAGATCGCACGGGTCCTCAAGGGAGGAGCATACGAGCTAGAGAGCTTTGCCTAGACCATGGAACATAAGAAATACTATGTTTGAACTTGATTATATCGCGTTTTTTTGCAATTTTTTTCTTTTTTGCTTGGTTAATGGGGAAATGAACTATCATGAAGACTTGCATCACATCCTCTTTTGCAATACATTCACGATTGCCTAAATTATTCGAACTGCAAGACTTGCATCACATCCGCTATGAACGACCAGGGCTAGGTCGGGCGGGGTAGTTTTTTCAAGCCGCTATGAACGACAAGAATTCTTTTATGCTAAGTCGGGTGGGGTAGACCTAATACGACTCAATAATACTTTAAAATAATACTTTAAAAAATTCTGAAGTTAATTTCATTTTAACATAACAAGACGTGAGGAATACCCATTCTAAGCGTGACCCAATTAATGTAGCATGAGAAACGAGCTAAGGCCACTTTCAGCTTGAATTTATTTAAGAAACGACCTATACATTTTTCGTAGTACAATCCACTCGGTTTGCCTGTCGACAGTAACTAGCTCGTTAATGATACATATGACCCAGTTGGTATGATTTGAACACAAGTGAAATTTAACCGGCCGATTAGCCGATGGTATAATATGACCTGAAAAGAAGTCAAATTGAACAAATCCTTAGGTGAAATGATATAAACTAGTTAACAACCGGCCCAGCTAAAAAACGACCTGATTAACCGGGTAGCGATCTAAACTTTATCAGTTTTAACGACCTGATAGAAAATAGGCTAGCGATCAACTAGAGTAAACATGCCGTTTACGAATTTAATTTAACAACCTAACATACGATGGGCCCGAAGTCGTTTTTACTAAGTAATTTGATGACCTAAAGCACGATTGGCCCGAAGTCATTTTTATTAACAATTTCACGAGCTAAATTATATTGCTACTTTGGGCCTAGTGAAACATCCAATAGTTAAGTGGTCAAGAAAACGACCCATTGGGGAATAACCTGAACCCATTCGGAGAAACATGATAAAACACGCAAAGGAGCAACCAAATAAGCTATAGAGCGTCATTAAGCAAAGCAAATGGGTCAATATATAGAGTTCAAACCATCTAACTATTAGGATAAACACGACAGATAAAGTTCAAAACTATTACATATCCAAAAATGAATGCTAGTTATGGGTTGTTCCATCCCTATTCATCCCTGGAGCAACATCATTGGCCCCAACCCGGTTAGTGTTACCCACAAGCGGTCTAGGAGGAAGGTGGAGTTGACCGGTTAGACTGGACTAGGAGACGACCTCGTGGGATGACATCGACCTACCAGGGATGGCCCTTAGGAAGTCTCGGATCTCCATTCCATCCCGCCAGGAAAGGTAGCCCAGTCGCACTATCACTATCATCCCTATTCAAACGACGGCAAACCCATGAACACCAACATGCCTTCAGCTCGGTCGAGGGCCAACCTGAAGTGTTGATGATCCTTAGGTGTCACCTTTTGAAGAAAGGCAAGGGAGTTGACGAAGCGATCGATTAGGTATTCCTTGTAAGCCTCTATGAAAATCGAGCAAATCAGGACAACAAGAACGACTTCCGACCTGCTTCTCTAGCCGTCTCTTCATTTTCGAGCAGCTCATTGTGGAACGTTTTCTCGTGTACGGCTAACTGTCGGTCGACAACTTCGAGGTTCTGCTTCAACTTGTCGGCCTGGGTCGATAGAGCTCCTCGCTCGTCACTAACCTTGCCATACTTGATTTTTCTCGATCTTAAGCTCTTTCTTTAGCTCCTCGATCGTCCTCTTGAGGGACTCGACCTCGTTCTTAAGTGACCCGATCTTCTCCTCCTTCTCAGCAAGCAGACGCTTAAAGACCGCAGTACCGACGTCTGGGTTGGTAATCCTCTTTTGGAGCAAAGAAAGGATGGCACGCAAAAATAATTAATGAAGGAAGTCATGATACGAATGACATTGGGGCAGAATTAGTTGATAGCTAGACTGTACAAGTTAGTAATAGTCGATAGCTCGGGTAGGGAAATATAAGTTGATATGACTCTGGTCAACAAAAAAAGTATAAAAACCCTTAGGGGGGTTTAGGGGGGGTTTTGTGTACAGGTTTGATGGAAACGTGGTGTGTAGTTCTCTGGATCTCACAATAGGTACGAAACCTAGCGACCTCTTCTGTTGAAGCAAAATCGATCGTGTTTATTTTAGTTATATTGGCGAAAGTTACAAGGGAAAGATTCAGGTCGTAAACAGGGGTGATGACACGAGATATAACAGAAAACGTATACCTCGAGGAATGAGCGGAGACCTACTATATCGCTCGAGTGGGTCATAGTCCATGTCGACCTGAAGCTCGTCACTCGACCCCCAGAGGGATCGGCTCGCTCACAAGGAGCCATCTCTCGACCTACCGATTCTCTAGAAGACGACCCAATATGTGTATCGATGACCTCATCAACAAAGTCAATTTGAGCTAAATATATCTAATATATCGCTTGGTATATGTACATATAAAACGACTTAAAAAATCCCAAAAGACATGAACAGGATCTGAAGCAATGGGAAAAATATAAAAGAACAGAGAAGGGGAAAGCGGGAAACATTTTACAATACCCACAACATTAGAATTGATCCCCGTACATTACTATTGAGTTATAAATATTCCCAACACATGATGATAATAATACGGATGTAAAAATAGAAAAAAAGTAGACTGCGGGCCAAAAAAAGAGGAAAGAGTAATGAGAGGCAAAAATGGCTTACCCATATTCATGTTGTCGGGAGAGGGGTTGAATCACCAAAATAAAGAAGTCCCCGGGAGTGGATGGCCTGCGCTTTGTGATCGAGGAGAAGCTCAACA